GACAGCCGGCGGCCATTGAAACGCCTCCGTACCATCATCGGACCACCGGCGAGGGCATCGCCGCCGTTTCTGGTCCATCATGTCAACACGTTCTGCCTCACACCAGGACAGCCTGGGAGACGTGGACGGCAGGTTAAAGCCACCCTGCGATTGGCCGGTCTGCGTTCCGGAGGCGGGACTTGGTGGGTCTTTGAAACACCGTCACTGACTCATAACTACCTACGTGTGATTTTATACGAGGAACTGGCGGGATGATTGAACTACGTGAGATCTGAAATGTTCTTAACTGTGATGTCATACAGCTGAGGCTCCGCCTCCTCCATCCTTCAACAATCTTCTCGCTCTGGGTTTCTCGCCTCGAGAGGTTTTATATCTCCCCGAGGACGCGGCGTGGAGATACGAGGAAACGGGGAAAAGAAGATTTATTCCGTTGATCATTTCCATCAGAGCACTTCAGCAAACGAGAGGATTCAGAGCCACAGAACCGATATGTTATAAAACGGAGGCTTCGCTCCAATCAGGTCCGATTTATTTCATTCTCATTCTTCTTCAGGTGGCTTCGCTTTATTGGTCTTCTAGTTTGGCCTCTAGGCGAAGGGTTAGTACTGGTTTAAGATGCACTACTGGTTTAACACAGGCTAGTACTGGTTTAAGATGCACTACTGGTTTAACACAGGTTAGTACTGGTTTAAGATGCACTACTGGTTTAACACAGGCTAGTACTGGTTTAAGATGCACTACTGGTTTAACACAGGTTAGTACTGGTTTAAGATATTCCACTACTGGTTTAACACAGGCTAGTACTGGTTTAAGATGCACTACTGGTTTAACACAGGCTAGTACTGGTTTAAGATGCACTACTGGTTTAACACAGGCTAGTACTGGTTTAAGATGCACTACTGGTTTAACACAGGCTAGTACTGGTTTAAGATGCACTACTGGTTTAACACAGGCTAGTACTGGTTTAAGATGCACTACTGGTTTAACACAGGCTAGTACTGGTTTAAGATGCACTACTGGTAGAAGCAGTCTTATACTCTAATGATGGTTTTGCAGTCTAGAAGCAGAGGAAGAGCCTTGCTGCTCTTTGTCTGGCTGCAGATGTTCCAGATGTCAAGCTGCTCAGAGCCGACAACCAGCAGCTCAGGTTCGGTTCTCAATCGGTCCAGTTCTCAGCTTGGAGGTCACACGTCTGAGGCCTCCCGCGGAGAAGAGGACTCGAGGAGGGAAACTGACAGGAACTCATTTCTGCCCCTTTCAGCCCACAAAGGAGCCACACGGCTGAAAAGCTGCAGGCTTCCCTCTGAATGTTCCCCAGAAGCAGCCGACCTGCGTTCAGAAAATGATTCCTGCTATTTTGTCCCAGGACTTGTGTGTGTTCATGTCTCCTGCAGCAACAAAGGTCCTTTGTGCTGTTCAGAGACGGAGCTACACACACACACACACACACACACAAAGGTCCATCTTCACTTTACTGGATCTGTCCTCCAACACGTCTCCATCTCTGCTGCTTCTTTTACTCCTTAAAACTGATCTCATCCGGCATTCGTGGCAAAGCCTCAGGAAAGGAACGCGTCCTAATCTCCAGATATCCCACAAAAGACTAATTATTTTGAATGACGTGTACAGCTAGTAAGTAAGTTTATTTTTAAAAGACTGTATTCATGTAAGAAGCAGAAATACTGCACATCTTGATGTCTTCTGTAAAAAAAAAAGAGCACGAAAATGAGGAGAATCTTTTCTTACGATATCGGACTGTTGTGTGGCGAACAGTTACAGTGCCTGGGGCTTTTATTGTGAAAGGTTACACCAGAAGCAGTGTATCTGGCCTGTGTATTGAACCTATTGAACACATCTGCTCCTCCTCATGTGATCGATGCCTTCATCCACCTCCTGAGGTTTTTACCTTGCGTTCTATGTGGGGAAACAACAGCTGTAAACATAAATATTGACTCCGGCGGCCTCGAGGTCCGCGGTCCACAACCTTCTTATTTAACTAAATAACAGCTTTCCTCTGTAATTACACCACTCTGGATGATAACGTGTAACAACACGAGGAAGGTGGGAACGTCAATTATTCCTTCAATAGCCTTTTGGCCTCAGTGGGCCTGTGTGTGTGTGCAGTGATTCTCCCTGCGTTGACCTTTGACCCTCTGTGTGTAAAGCATGAGCTGGAGGAGATATTTACATGTGTTTCCCTGAGCTGTTCGTCTGGATGCAGGCTGGCGTGGCGCCCTGGGGGGGGGGGGGGGGTCTGACAGGACCCGCAGCTCCTGGTTGTGGATTCTGTGTTTACGCTGATGGTCACAGACTTCTTCATTAGACCCGAACACTCGTCTCCCGAGTCCTCGGCTCTTCTTCTGCTCGTCTCTCACCTGGAGGCCTTTTTGTCGTCCAACTTTTCTACAGGTGAATGCTGGGAATGTGACCTGTCACTCAAAAGCAGTGCTGGGGGGGCTCTGTAATGTAAAAGGGGGGAGGTGAGAGGAAGAGTCTCTTCTGTCCTTCACATCTGCACCCACCCCCTCAAACCTGCCCCCACTTCCTCTAACCTGCCCCCCCTCCCTCAAACCTGCCCCCACTCCCTCTAACCTGCCCCCCCTCCCTCAAACCTGCCCCCACTCCCTCTAACCTGCCCCCCCTCTCTCTAACCTGCCCCTCATTATCTTTCTCTCACACACACAGACACACGACACACACACAGGCAGTAGGGGACACACACACACACACACACACACACACACACACACATTACACACACGGTGGCCACTCATAGCACAGCGGCCATCTTGGCGCTGCCGGGGGAATCGATGGCCCATTCTGTCTCTGGCCATATTGTTCCTGAGAGCTAATCAGCCACGAGAGCCCCTTGCTGGAGAGACACACACACACAGAGAGACAACACACACACACACACACAGAGACAACACACACACACACACAGACAGACAACACACACACACACACACAGACACACTCACACATTGTGAACGAGGAAGAGAAACGTGGCCTCGCATACAAATGTTCTGCTTGCTGAATCCTCGCCGTTGCATCACTGGTTGCTTAGCAACGGGTCGGTCCTGCTCCTCCGCGGTGTCTCCCCATGTGTGGGGACGCCGATGGACATGAGACATTTGTGTTGAATGAGAATTAAAAAACCAAAACATCCGAATTTAGATTCTAAAAAATGTCCTCATTTCTTAACACATCCTCAAATAAATGATTCCGTCCTCACAAGGATATGAGGGACAAGTAGGACACACACAGACACACAAAAACGCACACTTACACACACTGTCTGTGGCCTTCAAAGCTTTAGAATACATCATGTTGTGTGTGTCTGTGTGTTATGGATGTGGGGGGTTTTTCCCACGAGGCCTTGAGAGCAAATGGCTCCTCAGTGTAAATGTGAAACACACACACATCTACACACACACTCACACACACACACTCACACATCTACACACACACACACACACTTTGCTCTTGACCATCTCTTCTCCACATGTATGTTCCATGAACATTCCTCCGTCTTCTTCCCTCCTCTTCCTCCTCGTCCTCCCTCTATTCACTCTGCATGTAATGATGGAGGTCGACGGTGTGAGTCAGTATGTATTTGCCCCCCCCCCCCCCCCCCCCCCTCGCTCTGTATGCAAACCGGCTGATGGAGGGTCAGGGGGGGGTTGGGCTCTTGGAGGCGGATCGATAACCGTGACGAGGCCACGTGCAGGTTCTTCATTGAGGGAAACGACGTCGCTGCAGATGAGGAAGCAGCAGTGACGTCCAACTGGGATCAGTCTTAGTGCACATGGTCATGGCCTGATGTAGAGTATATGTATGTATGTATATATGTATAAATACATCACATCACATGTCATTTATCTGACGCTTTTATCCAAAGCGACTTACAATAAGAACATTTCAACCATAAGGACACAAACTCAGAAGAACAAAAACAAGAAAGTCTGATTTCATCAAATAAGCCGATGTACAACTTGCTGTAGATAAGAACCATTATAAGTCCAATGTAAGTGCTGCAGTTAGTTAGTGTGTTAGTGGAGGTAGAGTCTGAAGAGGTGTGTCTTTAGTCTGAAGATGTGAAGGCTCTCTGTGGTCCTGATGTCTTCACAGACCTCCTTCCACCATTTAGGAGCAGGACAGCAAAGAGTGGTGATCTAGTCGAGGGTTGGGATGTCGGGTTGGACCAGGTCCTGGATGTAAGCTGGACCCCATCCATTCACAGCATGGTACCTGAGCACCATGTTTAGAACTGGATGAGCCACCGGTACCAGTGAAGAGAGCGGAGGAGTGGAGGAGTGAGGGAGAACTTAGGAAGGTTAAAGACCAGTGGAGCTGCTGCATTCTGGATGAGCTGCAGAGGTGGAATGGAGGTAGCAGGAGACCTGCAGGAGGGAGTCACAGTAGTCCAGGAGGGAGAAGACAAGAGCCTGAATCAGTACCTTCTGAGTGAGAAGAGGACGTGTTCTCCTGATGTTGTAGAGCGAGTATCTACAGGATCGTGTTGTCAGTGATGGTGGAGTCAGGGAGAGTCGGCTGTCGACGTCACGCCGAGGTTCCTGCAGGCAAAGTGGGCGTGAACACGGAGTTAACGTGGAGGAGAAGATGAAGCTCTCCTCACAGGGATCAATCACATGGAGCCGATCAGCTTCTGATAAACTCTAATCAGTAAATTTGAACGTGTCACCGTTTCATCTTCACTGAAAGTTTCGTTCAGGAATGTTTTCAGACCATAAAAACACGTCTCACCTGACCGAGCACACGGCTTAACACACACACACACACACACACACACACACACACACACACACACACACACACACACACCTCCTCCACACCTCATCACGCAGTGAGATCACCTGCTCTTTAAAATGTGGACCCTCTGGTCCCTCTTCAATCTTCATCACCTCAGTGAGCGCTTGTTATGGGATTGAGGGGCGAGAGAGAGAGAGAGAGAGTCTTATTTGCTGATATGGGCTGAATGTGTCATGTGACCTGTTGGATCGAAGTCGTTTGGAGCTCAAAGGAGAAGCCCAGTCTGCTGTGAAAGTCTAAATAACTGCACTTTAAACAACAAAGCACCTGAAAACATACAAATAAGTGTGATGTTGACTTCCTTGTTGTGTGTGTGCAGGCGGTGGAAACCAACCTGGCCTCTAAAGACAGCCACTGGGTGTTTGTGAACGAGGTAAGACCGTCACCAATTATGCACACTTACATTTACATATGTGTATATCTCATTTGACTTAAGTCAAAACATTTTCTATGAGGTTAAAAAGTAAATCCTGTTGCAGTGAAGCTACTTCCTGTTTGATTTCTTCAGCCTTTTAGATCCGATAGAAGAGCTGCACTATTATGGAAAACGCCCAATTATGTTTTTTACCTTTGTCTTGGTTATCATGTGATGTTGCCGGGAGACAGACGGGGACGGGGGGGGACAGGGTCGTGGGGACGCGGGAGACGGGGGGAGGAGGGGAAGGGGGGGGCGAAATTCTTTGTCATCTGAGAAGTGTCGTCGGCAGGAGAAAAGACGCCATTAAAACAGTCGCAGACAGAGAGACTCTTTGAGGACTGGCTGTAGATGGATTTTCACAATAAGAGCAGGCTGTCTTGTGATGTGTTTGGGAGTAAAAGGAATCGATGCGTTTGTGGAAAAAGGACATTCTACCCGTGTGTCTCAGTCTTCTTCCTGGTTTCTCATCACCTGGAGGCTCAAGATTTATAAAACTATTTAACGAGAGTGTATCGATAGAAATGAAAATGAACATGTTATGCTTTAAAAGAATATTACGTAACTCACGTCTGAGTGGTCTCTCGCATGCTGCTTAATGCTAATTAGCATGTTAGCATCAAACGTGGGTCTATGTCTTTCACATTTTTCTGTAAAATGAAAAGCAGTCAAAGTAAAAACACTTTGAACGCATTAACCGTCCCATAAATGAGACGCACATTCTCCTGACTGCTGGTTTTATTTTTCATTGTTTTAATTAGTCACCAGAAATCCCCCCAAAAAGCCACAAAGTGGAGTTTTCTGTGTTTGAGCTGAAGAAGACGAGCGCAGTCGTCAGACACGTCATCACGTCTGGTGTTGATACGCCGGTGAAGCATTCGGCATTGTGTTCATATTCCAGTCACAGTGGGATTATCTTTGATCACACCGAGTGTCAAAATGAATGGACCTCGTTCAGTGAAGGAAGCTTTGTTTGTTTGTTTGTTTGTTTCCTCGTCGCTGCTCATCACCAATTTGCTGGAAGAAGTGAACTCTGGTTTGTTATGGTGCAAATCCATGTTTATTTAAACACAAGAGATGCAATTATTACCACAAAATATGACTGTGTGTACACCAATAGTTCTTCTTCTGTAGTGACCAGCAGGGGGCGACTCCTCTGCTCCCATAGACGTCTATGAGGAAATGACTCTACTTCTCTGTAGTGACCAGCAGGGGGCGACTCCTCTGCTCCCATAGACGTCTATGAGGAAATGACTCTACTTCTCTGTAGTGACCAGCAGGGGGCGACTCCTCTGCTCCCATAGACGTCTATGAGGAAATGACTCTACTTCTCTGTAGTGACCAGCAGGGGGCGACTCCTCTGCTCCCATAGACGTCTATGAGGAAATGACTCTACTTCTCTCTTGATTTATTCCCTCAGTAAACATTGTAAACATGAGTTTATGGTCTCAGTCTCTAGTTTCAAGTCTCCTCGATGCAGCCTGATGTTCATTTAGTGAATTATGGTCCATGTAGACCATAAAGTAGGGGGAGCTTTAGGGGCGGCAAATGAATAAATAGCAAATGAGGCTGAAATGAGGAAAATGAGGGTTTTTTAACGTCACGTGAAAGGGTCACAATGTCCCTGCAGGAAATCAGCGACACAGAGATCCTGGAACTTACCCACAGTGCACTGGGGCGCATGACGGTGATCCGGCAGATCTTCCCTGCGTGGAAGGACGGAGGCTCGCGCTGCATGAGGCACAACCACCGGATCTCCTCCCTGCTGTGCGACCCCCAGGAAGGCTACCTGCAGAACCTGGAGGTGAGGGGGGTCTCTTTCATTATTTTGTTTCTCCATCACATCAATTTGTTCTCTATTCACATCTCAACCTGTGTGTGTGTGTCTGTGTGTGTCTGTGTGTGTGTATGTCTGTGTGTGTGTGTGTGTCTGTGTGTGTATGTCTGTGTGTGTGTGTCAGTGTGTGTGTCAGTGTGTGTGTCTGTGTGTGTATGTCTGTGTGTGTGTGTGTGCCTCAGGCAGCATACTGCATGGACTTCATGTCAGTCAGCTGGACACAGTGATGCTCATTTGTCACCCTGGATTTGCTCTCTGCTCTGACGTTGTGTGTGTGTGTGTGTGTCTGTGTGTGTGTGTGTGTGTGTGTGTCTGTGTGTGTGTGTGTGTGTGTGTGTGCGTGTGTGTGTGTGTGAGACTCTGAGTGACAGAGTGTGTGATTCGTCACAGTGTGTGTCCTCCACCCTCTGTAGCCCAGGGTGAGAGAAGACAGGACTACATGTGGACGAGCAACTATCTATACTCGCTCTGTGTGTGTCTGTGTGTGTGTGTGTCTGTGTGTGTGTGTGTGTGTGTGTGTGTGTGTGTGTGTTTGTGTGTGTGTCTGTGTGTGTGTCCGGTTGTTGCAGTTGTTGCTTATTGAAGGACGTCTTTGAGAAGACACGTTGATAGTAGCTGAACGTGGATCCGTCCACGTCTCTCTGCAGGTGTCCAACCTCTACCTGTACGACAGTGTGCTGATGATGGCCAACGCCTTCTACAGGAAGCTGGAGGACAGGAAGTGGCACAGCATGGCGAGCCTCAACTGCATCAGGAAGTCCACCAAGCCCTGGAACGGAGGCTGGTCCATGCTGGAGACCATCCAGAAGGTACCGCGTCCCGCTAGTTATTCACTTATCTGTGTGGTTTTGGTGAAGCAGCCTCTCACCAGCTGCTCGAGGCGGATTAAGCGCGTTTTAATTGCTCGTTGGCGCCTACGTTGACCTCCGAGTGTTGCAGCTCACAACACTATCTGGTGTTAAGATGTTTAAGTCTTTGAAGAGGTCATTAAAGCGCGATCGGATACAGTGAGAGGGATCAGACCTTCCTAAACCCGACGCGAGGCCTCGGCTCTCACGCTCTGATTGGACCTACGTGCTCGTACATATACAGAGACGTATACAAATGAGTAAACAATGGGTCTGTGACAACAATGAAGACGTATTTCCAGCCGGTCTCACTCCACCCAGACAATAACATGCTTCACTTCATCACTTGACAGGAAGTCATCTAAACAGTCTGAACTCCGTCATCATCGGCGTCCTGATTCCCTGCAGCTGATGGATGTAGTGTAAATGTACCTGAGACACTGGTCACATGACCAGCTCTACTGGTTTGACTCCACCTGTGTGCTGTGACTACCTCCATCAGCCTCCCCGTTGGCTCTACTGCTGTGTGGCAGCAGGAAGCTCAGTAACTGGACAAGTCCTCTTCAGAATCCTCTTCAGAGTCCGTCTTCGCGGTTCGATGGCCAATCGATGTGGAGCTGCAGGTCTCCACGGAGGAGAAGCTCTGAGAGAACCTTCAACGGACTCGTTCTCCACATTCACACCCCTCAGGCAACACATGTTTCTACTGGTCATATTGTGGTTATTTGATCATATTCATTTTATGAGTAAATGCAGACCAAATCAATCCATATGTTCAGGTGCTTACCTGAACTCTAGCTTAGAGGTCAACAGCGGTTCCGTGTCTCTAAAATAACAGTGATGTTAATGAAACATCATGTCCAGCGCTCTGATGACGGACCTGACGGATCACGAGTCTCTCATCACATCACTAAAGACAAGAAGCACAGCCGGCCTCAGCCCACCCCCCCCCCGCGACCTTTGCTGCTGACGGCCGTCCTCCTGACGGCCGTCCTCAGTCTTGCTGTTGCGATCCGATGGAGGTGGAGAAGCCACATTTCAAACCGTGGCCTTTTCAACGCCTGCGGCTCTGACGACATTGTGGTCCGTCGGGGCAGAAAGCAGCCGGCGCCGATCAGGAGGTCACCAACCGGCAACAACGCACTTCTTCTGACTTCTAATCTAACAGGAAGTGAAAGAAACGGTAACTTCATGTTGGATGAGGAGCTGCTTTTGATCCTCAATCAGCCAGACGTTCCCCATAATGCACTTGGGTTGCTGCGGCTACAAAAAAGCATCTTAGATGCTTCATGTGTCGTTGCAGCAACATAAATGAGTCATGCTAATGGTCACATGATCTGCGGTTGATTCGTCACTATTTCAGTTTCTGCCTCATTCAGTCATTTTTAACAATACCGATGAGATGAAACACGCTTTAATAAAGAAGCTTCCCAAACCTGTTCAACCTAAAACTACACGATGAAAGCACGAGGTCACAATGTTCTGAAGCCCCGCCTCTCCTCCACCTCCTACTCCAGGGGAACATCTCAGGTCTGACGGGGACGATGGACTTCAAGGACGGAGGCTCCAACTCTCACGTCCAGTTTGAGATCCTCGGCTCCAGCTTCAGCGAGACCTTCGGCAAAGACGTGAAGAGGGTGAGTTCCCTCTGTGGGGGGGGAGAGGTCGAGAGGTTGGGAGGTAGAGAGGTTAGGGAGATGGAGAGGGGGGTGGAGAGGTTGGGAGGTTGGGAGGTTGGGGAGATGGAGAGGCGGGTGGAGAGATTGAGAGGTAAAGAGGTTGGGCAGATGGAGAGGGGGGTTGAGATGTACAGAAATTGTGGGACATTTAAAAGAGAGTCTAGAGCTGGGTAGTTCGCGAGATGGAGGAGAGGTTGGGGGAGATGGAGAGGGGGTGGAGAGGTTGGGAGGTAGAGAGGTTGGGGAGATGGAGAGGGGGTGGAGAGGTTGGGGGAGATGGAGAGGGGGTGGAGAGGTTGGGGGAGATGGAGAGGGGGGTGGAGAGGTTGGGAGGTAGAGAGGTTGGGGAGATGGAGGGGGGGTGGAGAGGTTGGGAGGTAGAGAGGTTGGGGAGATGGAGAGGGGGGTGGAGAGGTTGGGGGAGATGGAGAGGGGGGTGGAGAGGTCCTGGGGTGTCTGGGGGGTGGAAATGAAGATGAAGGGATGACTGAGATGTGAATGATCGGCTTCTGAAGAGAGAGGATGAAGTTCTCTTCCTCGTTGACCTTTGACCTTCTGCTCTCGCTTTCATGAGCAAGCAGATGACAGAAATCACAAAAGACAAAAGCAGATTATCGGTGAAGACTTTTACCTTTACCTGTTACGTGTGTCTCCACACGTCTCCTCATGTCTCCATATGTGTCCACCTGTCAACCTACAGGAGGATGTTTGGTTCTTCTGTGCCGATGCTCACATGAACAAAGTGTCGTCTCGGGTGCAAACCATCAGATTGCTTCTCTGATGGTTTTATTAAGTGTAGATTGACGGTATAATTGTGTAATTTGTTAACGCGACGTGTCCTCCATGATGTTCCTGTCCTTCACCCACCAGCCCTTCACGTCTCTCACAGAGGAGCTGAAGAGGTTTGCAATTACTGTGTGGAGGGTAGAAATGACCCGTTAGTCCACGATGGAGCTGCTCCTCTGAGCCGAGCCTCAGACGCTGAATTCAAACCCACCAACGAATTCTGAGTCAATTTGAGCTTTTTACAAAAACAGAGCTTTTGATTTGTGAATAATTGTGAAAACCAGAGAGATGGTTACAAAACGCTGCAGGGGGGGAACTGTAGTTCAGACCTGACGAATTACCGACATAATATGTCGACTTAAATGAATCAACGATGAATTAAATGAAGGAGGAGCAGAGACACACACACACTCACACACACACACACACTCACACACACACACACACACACTCACTTACACACACACACCCTTCACACACACACACACACACACACACACACACACACACACACACCCTTCACACACACACACACACACACACACACACACACACACACACACACACACACTCACTTACACACACACAAACACACACACACACACACACACACCCTTCACACACACACACTCACACACACACACACACACTCACTTACACACACACACACAAACACACACACACACAAACACACTTACACACACACACACACACACACACACACACTCACAGTGCAAAGTCCACACAAAGTGATTCTGCTGAGGCAAACACATCGGCACCAAGGACACACACTCACACACACACACAATGTGAGGGCACGTCTCACAAACACACGTGTGAGACCACACGCACACGCCTGTGTGACATTAAATCCTCTGGTGCATTTTGCTGTTATGAAACCTTTGATGTTTCTGCACAAAGCTTCACTCTCGGGGGTCTTTTCAAAGGGAAAACACAGCGATATGAAAAAAATGTTAGTGTGTGTGTGTGTGTGTGTGTGTGTGTGTGTGTGTGTGTGAGTGAGTGTGTGTGTGTGTGTGAAGGGTGTGTGTGTGTGTGTGTGTGTGTGTGTGTGTGAAGGGTGTTGTGTGTGTGTGTGTGTGTGAGTGAGTGAGTGAGTGTGTGTGTGTGTGAAGGGTGTTTGTGTAAGGGTGTGAGTGTGTGTGTGTGTGTGTGTGTGTGTGAGTGAGTGAGTGAGTGTGTGTGTGTGAAGGGTGTTTGTGTAAGGGTGTGAGTGTGTGTGTGTGTGTGTGTGTGTGTGTGAGTGAGTGAGTGAGTGAGTGTGTGTGAGTGTGTGTGTGTGTGTGTGTGTGTGTGTGTGTGTGTGTGTGAAGGGTGTGTGTGTGTGTGTGTGTGTGTGTGTGTGTGTGTGTGTGTGTGTGTGTTCTACAATGTGAATAGAACCAGCAGATCAACACTAAATCTGCTTCAATTCATTTTAGTTTGCAGGTTCTTTCTCTTTTCTGCTGCGTGAAGCTGCTCATAAAGCGATTGCTTCAATTGTCAGATATGAATTAATTGACATGACAGACAGGAGACCTGGTGTGTAATGAGGTCGGTCCTCTCGTTAGAGTCGAACCACTCGATGCGTAACAAAGAATATGGGAAAGTTGAGTGTGAACCACTTGCAACTAATAAACTGGTTATACAAATGAAGCATTTAAAAGGGTCACATATCACTCTCACACTCCATCACACACACACACACACACTCACTCACAGACTCACACACTGCCCATTACACAGACACCCTGGAGCTCTAATGGGGAGCACCTGCTGACTAAAACAAGCAGCCCTCTGCAGTGTCACGCGTCTACACGTGAAAGCTCCTCGGCCTCTTCGGCCACAGGAAGTGACCCGTTGTTCTTCCTCCAGCTGGCCACGTGGGACTCGCTGCACGGCCTCAACGGCAGCCTGAAGGAGAGCCGCATCGAGAGCGGCATGCAGGGGGTCACGGTCAAGGTGGTCACCTTACTGGTAGGTCACGTTCCTTCATTCATCTTATCTACAGGTTTCAAAGATTCATCATGCAAATGTGGCAATATATATGACTATATATATATATATGTATGTGTGTATATAAATGTATGTGTATATATATATACACATATATGTATATATATAGACATATGTGTATATATATAGACATACGTGTATATATATGTATATATAGACATATGTGTATATATATATATATATATATATATATATATATATATATATATATATATATAGACATACGTGTATATATATGTATATATAGACATATGTGTATATATATATAGACATACGTGTATATATATGTATATATAGACATATGTGTATATATATATACACATATGTGTATATATACAATAGTCATCTCCATGGATCCCCTCACAAGCCGGCTTTATTCCCTCATAAAAACTCTTTAAAAAGTCCACAAGAAGGAAAAAATAGAAGTCTGCGTTCTTTGCTTCGATTTAGTTCTTTAAACACGAGTTCAATTCTCGATGTAACACAAAATAATCCCACACTCCAAAGCACAAACACACACTTCAATAAATCCAGAGGAAAATCCCTCAGTCAATAAAGAAGAAAAACATTTTATATCTGCTGAGCTTCTGAGAGTTTTTATTAACATTTAACTTTTCTTAACTTTGGTTTGAGTTCAGCAGCTGAGGACCAACAGGATGGAACCCTCAACACACACACACACACACACAACAACTACAGACGCACACAAACACACACACTACCAGCTACAGACACACACACAACTACAAATGAACAACTACAGCTTGAAGCAGCTCGGTTTGATGTGTGAGTCCTTTAATAAGTTCAACACACAGACGTGACCATCGTGTCACAGAAACGCACAACTCGTGGTTCACGACGTTTGTCTTCTTGAAACCGTGATGATGAAAACACGGGTCGTGATGAACGGAGGATTCGTTGTCTAAGTACTCAAGTACACCAGCAACAACACTCTTCAGTCTGAAGGTGGTAACCCTGCCCCCCCCGCAGGAGGACCCCTTCGTCATGGTGGCGGAGAACATCCTCGGGCAGCCAAAGAGATACAAAGGCTTCTCCATCGACGTCCTGGACGCGCTCGCCAGGATCCTGGGCTTCAAGTACGAGATCTACCAGGTGGGACTGACTTGCTGAGGTGAAACATCTGGTTTACACAACATCTGCTTTTAGGGGTAACAGGCTTTTGACCTGGATCAGATGTTCCTGAACAGATCCCAATGGTACCGACCGTGTTAAACTGGTTCCTTTACTATCGAATGTGAATGTGGGTTTACTGCATGTCTCACTGTGGCAGATGATGTCACGGCCTCCAGAGAAGGTCCTGAACTGCTCAATGACCCCATTGACCCCGTGCATGTTCCCTCCAGGTGGCCGACAGTAAATATGGATCCCGTCTCCACAACGGCTCGTGGAACGGAATGATCGGTGACCTCATCAACAAGGTGAGAACGGACTTCAGCCGTCAAAGAGGAGGTTCTGGTTTTAGCTTCAGAGACGAACCAACACGCGTTGTTGATCCTCCAGAGAGCGGACCTGGCGGTATCTGCCATCACCATCACACCTGAGAGGGAGAACGTGGTGGACTTCAGCAAGCGCTACCTGGACTACAGCGTCGGCATCCTGCTGCGAAAACCTGAGGAGAAGATCAACATCTTCTCCCTTTTTGCGCCCTTTGACCTCGCCGTCTGGGCCTGCATCGCCGCCGCCATCCCCGTGGTGGGCGTGCTCATCTTCCTGCTCAACAGGCTGCAGGCGCTGCGCTCCTCCGCTTCCCCGGACGAGCCGCCGGGCCAGCAGCACGGCGGGGGCGTGGCCTCGGGCTCGCTGCACAGCGCCATCTGGATCGTCTACGGAGCGTTCGTTCACCAAGGTGAGAGGAGGGGGGCGGAGCTTCGGGTGTCCTGATGGACACGGGGGCGGAGCTTCAGGTGTCCTGATGGACATATGGGCGGAGCTTCAGGTGTCCTGATGGACACAAGATCAGAGCTTCAGGTGTCCTAATGGACACGAGGGCGGAGCTTCAGGTGTCCTGATGGACACGAGGGAGGAGCTTCAGGTGTCCATATGGACGCGAGGGAGGAGCTTCAGGTGTCCTGATGGACACAAGATCAGAGCTTAAAGTGTCCTGATGGACACGAGGGCGGAGCTTCAGGTGTCCTGATGGACACGAGGGCGGGGCTTCAGGTGTCCTGATGGACACAAGATCAGAGCTTTAAGTGTCCTGATGGACACGAGGCCGGAGCTTCAGGTGTCCTGATGGACACGAGGGCGGAGCTTCATGTTTCCTGATGGACACGAGGCCGGAGCTTTAAGTGTCCTGATGGACACGAGGCCGGAGCTTCAGGTGTCCTGATGGACACGAGGGCGGAGCTTCAGGTGTCCTGATGGACACGAGGCCGTTTGGACCTCGGGCCTCTTTGAGCGGGTTCCTGAGATGTTCTCACGCTGTAGCAGCTCACTGTTGTTGGATGAAACCAATCAACGCTGATCACAGCAGAGGGAAGATTATCGGCCTTGTAAGGAAGGATTTTCCTTTGATTTTCGGTGCGTCGGGTTTAATTCGGAGCCGTTACACGGATTACAAAGCAGCAGAAGGAGGAAACAATAATCCCCGGAGGATCCGCAGGGCGTCTGAAATATTTAGCAGAGAGGCAGAAACAAGGACATGAAACTCCAAAGTGCTTAAATGAATTAGAGGGAAGCTTATGTTACACAGAGCTGCAGGAGATGTGAGAGTGACGTAATCAACGCTTCTGTGTGGGAAAGTTCGTGGAATCTTTTCTCCAACAAAACTACTAATCGATCGAGGGTAAAACTATAAAGTATTGTGTTAAACACACACGCTTTGATATATTTATTCCCTTATATAATGATTAAAACATTAAGTAATTCATTTCCCTTCATATTTTCTTAATACATGTATATAAAAAATACCTGTACATAAAAATATATTCTAATTTCTAAACAAGAACATACTATGTATGAATAGTATGTTCTTATGTCCAAATACTAAATTCAGGACAAACAACAACAAATAACAGGTAAAAACAACTCTCCTCTGAAGATGCAGAACGTCTGCAGAGATTTTGTCCATCAGAGGAACGAAGCTTCGTTCCCCTAAAATGTTCTCTTCCAAAAACGTCCTCGTTTAGCTCAGAAACACGTTGAGCTTCCCAAATTGTTGGAAACTTGACTCAGTCCATTAAAAAGTAAAACAAGAAGACACACGGCCAGTGATGCGTGTTTACACACACACACACACACACACACACCCCTTCCTGCAGGGGGGCCCAGCTGCATCTATTACGCTCTGGCTGGTTGCCTGGGAAACCTTTTAGGCCTCCTGCTCTGTGATTAGATGCAACAGCAGATGGAGGTCACGACTGAGAGGTCGCAGGTTCGATTCCCACTTGGCAGCTCTGAGATCAGTTTGAAGACAGAAATAAATTTACTGTTTTAAAATTTAATTAAATCAAAATATGAAATCCAAATATATATTTGTAACAGAATTTAAAAATAAAAGAGTACATATGTCAGTTTTTTTTAAGCAGAGGTCCTCTCTTGGTTGATAGTCCCCTGTTGGTGACGTCGGGCCGTGTGTGTGTGTGTGTGTGTGTGCGTGTGCAGGTGGCGGAGGCGTGGCGGGCTCGGCGGCGCTGAGGATCGTCATGGGCAGCTGGTGGCTCTTCACGCTCATCGTGTGCTCGTCCTACACGGCCAACCTGGCGGCGTACCTCACCGTGTCCCGCATGGACCACGCCATACGGTGAGACCCCCAATAAACACCTTTAAATAGTTTGCAGTGAATTTAAGAGAATTCTTACATAAGATGCACTCAGCCCACAAACAAAGTCCTATATTTCAATATTTCTGCCATATTTTTAATAGTTAGTTATGAACAGAATCCAATATTTTGCGATCTTTGCTTGTTTTAACTTAATTTACAGATTCACACCAACGTTATAACAGTGAACACGGTATTAGGACAGGATTGAATCTCATGATATCTTATCTTATAATAAACCTCTGTAATGTAACACGCAAAGTTAATTAAGAGCATCACTCTTCTACTGCACAATAGAACGATATTGTCCTTCGATCCAGAAAGAGGGGTTTTAGTTCAAAGCCTCCTGTGGTTGTGTGTCAGTAACACAGATAATGATGTGATGATGTTGATTGGATGAAGATCTGATCAGCAAGTGTCTCTCAGCGACGCTCCTTCAACCTTCAGGAGCTTCTCACTCATTCAGCTGATTACTGATGTCACAGAAAGCGACGAATGCCCTCGAATCCCCTCAAGAGAAACGCTGCAAATCACCCGTAATTTAGAGGACGGCGCTTGTGAAGAGGAAGAAGTCGAGCTGCTGGAGTTCTACATTTACAGGATGGACAGAAACAAAAAAGCCCACAGCGTTAAAATGTCCCAGTAAAGATTTCACACCGAGTTCAAGTATTTCATGTGTAAAACAGTTGACCCGCCGGCCTGTTGTCAAACTACAACTCTTATTCTGTCTGCAGCCTCGTGTATTTAACCCTCCTGGTGAACGTTTATCCCACCAGGACTCTGGGGAGATGTTTGCAGCCCAGCTGGGTTCTTCTTAAAGAAACACGTCCTTTAATTCACTAAATTACTGTTAGAATGAATTAAAAACAAAGAACTTGCATCCTACAAATCCCATAATGCAACTGGTTCGGACAGAAGAGCGTGAGTGGATCATCTCAAGCTTCATCTCCAGGACCAACGGGTCCTCTGTGACTTCACAGTGAGCACTGCACACGTTACATACGTGCTACACGCGTGTGATGTCGTTTGCCATGTGACGACCACACGACGGCCACTTCACCTCCATCCGCCGCCACCTCTCGTCCCCCGAGGACCAGACTCGTGTCCTTTAGACGTCCACTGAATGCTGAAGGGGACATTAGCATTTGACGAAGGCTCCTTCACAGCCCCTCGTCTTCCTCCTCACCGGAAACCCTCTGAAATGTGCTTATAATATATATATAAAATAATATATATAATATATTATAATATATATAAAAGTCAAACTGAGGTAAAAGAACAATTATTTGAAGAAATAATTCCATTTGTTCTGAATCAGAACTCACATTTAAATGATGATCTCAGAGTTTGTTTTATTATCTGACGCTTTTATTCAGAGCGACTTACGTTACTCAGTTTGAATCTTTCAGGATTTCATCAAAATTAGTTCATTAATTGTATATTTGACAGCGTCAATTTTTCTTATAACTACTTGTTTATGTCATTTGCGTATTGAGAGAATCTTTTTATAACGGTGCCTCTTCAAATCACAGCGTATAATTATTATTATTATTATTATTTACCTTCCTTTACAGAAATAAATAACTATCATAGACAACATCCGCCTGCTGAAGGAAAATCCAATTACACCACCAGCATAAAAGCTCCGGCCTTATTAGCACATAAATATCCAATAATCATTGTTACCTTGTGACCATAAACTACTGTTTATGTGCTATTTGTTGTTTGTCTACATGTTTTTCTTTTCTAATATTGGTTTGTTAGAAATATCTATATTGTTTGTTTGGATAAAATAATTTCTAAAAATAAAAACTTGATTGGATGCGGCTGGAGAAGGAAACATTAATAATAAATTAGTCTCGTGGGAGTCGTTGATTAAAAACTCTTCAAACTGCTCCAAACAAGCGCTGACCTGAGATCAGTTTGTTAACATCTTCTCTCTATAAATATATGAATATGTTTTATTATTGTAACCGGTCTGAAGTACATGAACACATATTTAATACAAATATGATGTCTAATCTGTATATTATATATCAGTATATGATGCATATACACCCCCCCCCCCCCCACAGGTCGTTCCAGGACCTGGCGCGTCAGATGGAGGTGGACTACGGCACCGTCAGGGACTCGGCCGTCTACGACTACTTCAGGAACAAAGGCACCAACCCTCTGGAGCAGGACAGCACGTACGCCGAGCTGTGGAGGACGGTCAGCAAGAGCGACGGGCTCGACCACTCGGTGTCCGGGCCCTCCGAGGGCATCCGCAAGGTGGGCGGGGCTTAGGCCTCCGGGCCACGCCTACGACCTGCAACTTCCTGTGTGTGTGTGTGTGCGTGTGTGTGTGCGTGTGTGTCTGCGTGTTGTGTGTGCGTGTTGTATGTGTGCGTGTGTGTGTGTGTGCGCGTGTGTGTGTGCGTGTTGTATGTGTGTGTGCGTGTTGTATGTGTGTGTGTGTGTGTGTGTGTGTTGTATGTGTGTGTGCGTGTGGTATGTGTGTGTGTGTGTGTGTGTGTGTGAGAGTATATGTATATATGCACTCTGTATGTGTGTGTGCGTGTTGTATATGTGTGTGCGTGTTGTATGTGTGTGTGTGTGTGTCCCTAAAAAGCCCCGTTCATAAGTAAGTGAATAAAAACAAACAATCAACGTTGTGCATCGTAAAGAAAGACAAACACACAACGTCTTGCGCATCAACAGAGGGAGATTTCAAAACAGTGTGTGTGTGTCTGTGCGTGTCATCAAAGGCACACACAGACACACACACGCATATTCTGACTTGTAATCTTCTTGTGTGAGTTAATGAGCCGCTCCGTCACTCACAAGTGTTTTCATGATGATTTCACAGGCTGATTTAGTGCCACACACACACACACACACACACGCACACGTGCACACACACACACACACACACACACAAGCACACGTGCACACACACAACACACACACACACACACACACACACGCACGCACGCACGCACGCACACACACACACGCGCACGCACGCACTCACACACACAACACACACACACACACACACACACGCACGCACACACTTCTGCTGTATTCACAGTGGGGAAACACAAAGACACTCTTCTGTTTACTCATTACTTAATTGCAGTGTCACGATCCCCCGATTAGAGAGATAATGACGCAGCGTGTGTGTGTGTGTGTGTGTGTGTGTGTTTGGTGTGTGTTGTGTGTGTGTGTGTGTGTGTGTGTGTACACTTTAGTGCTCAGATCTCCCAAAGAACTGATGACAAATTATCAGAGGAGACAAATGCCACCCCCCCCCCCCCAAAGATAAGCAAGTAAAATGTGTATTTATATGGTTTAAAATCAATCTAAATCTCCTCATTATTATGAGCAGAGCCTGAACGCATCACAGTGTAACTGTAGTGAGCCTCCGTAGCTTAACCGTTAGCCGTTAGCCGCTAACTCAACAAAGTCCTCCTCCTGTTGATCTAAACACTGATTGGTTGTTGATGATGTCACATGATCACCGTCATCAATCGTGATCAGAAAAAGTGATGAGACGTGAAAAACACCACCTTATATTCAATGTTTAATTATTATAGTCTGCACATGGTAACCATGGTAACGGTTATGGTCAGGGACAGACGGTGGTTGTGGAAATGTATGAGATCTCTGGCTTCCTGAAGGCTGATCCAACACTTTGCATTATTCATACAGTGTATATATAACAAAAACACGTATTTATATACGATGAAAAAGGGGGTATGAATGAATGTAGAGACATTAGTTTCATGTTTGAGTCATTAAGAACTGTGAAATGATTTATTTCATTATCCTTTGGGTCTCATTCATACCCCTTTTTTCATCCTTACTCTCATTAATAATAATAATAATAATTTACAAAACGATTTGGTGGCGACTCTCCCGCTCCTCAAATATTAACCAGCTGACTCTTTCATAACTGATTTAATGAGGATTGGTGGAGAAACAGTAACTCAGTTCTTTTTTTCTGCCTCTGAGTGACGCTTTAAACAGTTGCAACGTGTTATTTGTTTTACAATGACTCATATTAACCTCATAATTCGTTAATAGTCTCCAGACATGCTGCTTTAACCCCCATGATCCATAAGAGTCCATTTCCTTCTTCCTCCTCTGAGCTGTCACGTAGCTTAGCATCAACGCGACGCCGTTCTCCTCCGGAGAGTAAAAAACACTCGGTTCCTCCCTGATGAGATGCTTCAATGCACACATCCCTGTCCCGGGGGGGGGGGGGGGTCACGGCACTCTGTTCATGTGTGTGGAAACAATTACAGTGAGCAGGGAGACGTGAGGAGGCTCGATGCAGTGAGGCGTTTCTCCGAGGAGGCCTGCAGCGCGTAGACGGTTAAAAGCGAGGACTGAATGAGGCAGCAGGCTTTTAATTTGAAGGACTGCTTCGCAGTGGCTCGCCGCCTCACACTGTGGACGTATTGATGGGCAGGAAGTAGAGCAGGAAGTCAGCTGTCTCTCTACGCTTCCTTTTCTGAGCCCATAAATGAAATCAAATATCCGCTGTTGTGCCTCCGTGGAGCACAAACAGCGACGATTAGTCGTCCTGAAGGTAGACGGGTTCAGGCCCAGAGATCTGAAACACGAGTTCATGGATTCAAGAACCTGGACACAAATAAATAGCGATTGTTTTTTCATCCTGTAGATGCGTAAAAAAAATTATATTGTTTTTTGGGTTATTTGCTCCTCTGATCGGCGGCCTCACATCAGAGCTGAATTTAAACATGTCCAGCGTTTCCATGGAAACTAGAGCTAAAAATGTGGAGAGGTGATTTTTCAGCGACTGTGAATATTTTATCCGACATTTATTTCTTGTAGGATGAATAAATACTCAAATATATAGATAGATAGATATAATAAATATATACATATCCCACAGATCTAAAACCTCAACCTCACAAACAAATGTCCCCCCTCCCAGGCTAAGAAGAGTCCCTACGCCTTCCTGTGGGACATGGCGGTGCTGGAGTACGCCGCCCTCACGGACGACGACTGCACCGTCACCGTGTCGGGGAACGGCGTGAGCAGCAAAGGGTACGGCATCGCCATGCAGCACGGGAGCCCCTACCGGGACCTCTTCTCCCAGAAGTAAGATCACACGAGGTCTTCATGCCATCCATGAGTACATGTGTGATTATATGAGACAACAGGGACCTCTTCTCTTATTCTCTCATGTTCTCATGCTCTTATTCTCCCATGTTCTCATTCGCTTATTCTCATGTTATCATGCTCTTATTCTCTCACGTTCTCATGCTCTTATTCTCTTATTCTCTCATGATCTCATGCTCTTATTCTCTCATTCGCTCATGTTCCCATGCTCTTATTCTCTTATTCGCTCATGTTCTCATGCTCTTATTCTCTCATGATCTCATGCTCTTATTCTCTCATTCGCTCATGTTCCCATGCTCTTATTCTCTTATTCGCTCATGTTCTCATGCTCTTATTCTCTCATGATCTCATGCTCTTATTCTCTTATTCGCTCATGTTCTCATGCTTTTATTCTCTCATTCGCTCATGTTCCCATGCTCTTATTCTCTCATTCGCTCATGTTCCCATGCTCTTATTCTCTTATTCGCTCATGTTCTCATGCTCTTATTCTCTCATTCGCTCATGTTCCCATGCTCTTATTCTCTTATTCGCTCATGTTCTCATCTTATTGAAATGACTTTAACGACATGGGGGACGTAAAAGATGGCCGCTCACTTTGTGTAGCTTGAGAGCCTCGTTCACCAGAAGAGGAAACAGAGTGATTGTAAAGTTTAGTCTGTTCACAGCTTTTGGAACAGGATATTTAACTCGTCCAACACGTTTCTGTCCGTTCGTGTGAAACAAGGACTCCAGTCGATTCTTTGACTCGAGCTTCATGAAATCCCTTCTTGTGAAAACTCATTTATTCTTTACTGAGAGACTTTCGCCTCGACCTTCAGCGGCGTATCTCCTTCACCTTCACGGTGCTTCCAGATGTTTGTGAGTCTTAGTGGGTCGCCGACAGTTTATTGGTGAAAAAATGTCCATCTGTGTTTATTTGCGGTATTGGTTGTCGTGGCGATAACACACGGCGCCCCTCTGTGACGCCCCGGGGTTATTATCACTACAATGATCCAAAGCGCTGTTTGTGGGGGGCTTCCTCTTCCTACCGAGCAATCCTGAGTTCATTTGGGGGCTCGTTCATCCGCTGAACGGAGACAAAAGCCGCTGGTTATCAACGTTTTGTTTTTCCAGTGCGAGGCGTTCAGGGACGCGCAGGAATAGTGTTCAGAGCGTTCAGTCGGGGGCGGGGCTATTGTTCACTGAGGGAACCCATTATCTACTGGTTCTGATACCTGCTCCCATCGCCGCTGCCTTCTCTCCATCCTGCGTTTCACTTCTATAATCCGCCGTTAATAAGCTTCACACTTTGTTGCCTCCGAAGCTCGTTTGTGCCGTGAAAACTGAGCAGATTAAACGGGGAAAATTACTATGGGGTTTTTTTTAGGTTCCTATTACTTTTTAGACATAATATTCTTCTTTATCTCACGCTGACCTATGAATGACTTATTATCATGAGTTCTTATTTCCATAACATTGCATTGTGTGACTTTTAAATATATATTTGAGAATTTTGACAAAACTTTGTTCCTTCATGTTATGACGTAGTATTCTACATTCGTACGTAGTAGTGGATTAAATGTCCTCTGACTCACCTGTTCACCCCGCCTCCCCCCTCAAGGATCCTGGAGCTGCAGGAGAAGGGCGACCTGGACATCATGAAGCAGAAGTGGTGGCCTCGTACGGGCCGCTGCGACCTCCACAGCCACGCCAGCGCCCACCCCGACGGCCGCTCCCTCAAGCTGCACAGCTTCGCCGGCGTCTTCTGCATCCTGGCCGCCGGCCTGCTGCTGGCCTGCCTGGTGGCCGGGCTGGAGGCCTGGTGGAACGGCGACCGCTGCCGCCGGGAGCAGCCCAAAGAGGTGACCGAGCACAGGGCCCGGCGGACGGGCCCGCGGGGGGAGGACACGGCCACACTCTACTTTAAGGATCCAGCCGTGAGCCCCGACTTAGTGGAGCTCCAGTACACCCAGCTGTAGAGGGGAGAGGGCTAGCAGGGCTAGCGGCGTTAGCACCGGGGGGACAGGTAGCATCCGCCCAGGCCACTGGGTGAAATCAAATTTGGTCTCTTATAATTACCCCTCCATTGTTTCCTTTCCTCTGTGCATCGCTCCCCTCCACCTCGTCCTTACTTACAGATATATTCTCATATTCTATAATCCACATGAAGCACACTGATCCACTACAAAAGCACAGCTCCTCCACCCGCCGACGTGTGGCTACTAGCATGTGCTGCGTGTTTCCTGGCTCACGCGGCAGAGTACACTCACACACTGTAATGATCATTCCCACGGTGCCATTCAAGCGCTCGGTATTGAATTATTGTGATAAACTCATTTTCTACAAAGAGGCTTTGGTAGTTTCCTGCCCCCGGGGGGCTGAAAGGAGATTATAATTAGCAGAGGAGGGATCATTCAGGCAGAGGACGCACAGACACACTTTTGGACATATTCCATTTCAGCATGAGGTCCGAAAGAGACAAAGAGGTAATTTATCACATCCAAGGGAACCGTAACGTGCGGCTCAGCCCGTCAACAGCCACATGATCCCAGCTGTTCACCGGCTGACGTCACCGACAGATACACGAGCATCACCTCCTGCATAAAGAGCTCGCAGACGTCCATCAGCAGGTTCTAATGAAAGGAGAAGGCCGCTGAGCTAACAGCTAAACCTTTTGGTTTGAAGAGGAAAGGCCGTCCATTAATCAATTAATCAATCACTCTAATCAATATTAATGACCTCTGACAACAGTGACTTGAAGTGAGCATCTCATAATTCATGTGTTCATAGTGCAAGTAGATGAATGAATTAACGGTCCGGCATCGCAGAGGTCTCTCTTTTGCTGACTTTGTTAAATGATCTAGTTTAATACTGAATTAGCGATATATTCTTATTTCTCAAACGAGTGCAGAAATCAACCTAAAATGATCTACACTGATGTTGCGTCCCAGTAAAATATTATATGTAGATATCTGCTTATATACAATATTGTAACACAAAGTAAATTTCAAATATCTGGTGTTCATTTGGCAATTTGAAAGTGGAAAAAAGGTTTGCAAGCACATTTCAGATGATGTACAATGTTCCCCCTTTTAACTCCATTTTGGTCTCCTCCTCCAAATGCACCCTGTCCTCCAGCTGCTGAGGAGACAACGTTCTGCTCACTGTCCTTGGATTTACTCCATTATTGTTTGCAAAGATGAAATAATGAATCAGTTATAGAGGACGTAGTGTGGAACTGGGCTCAACCTCAGCACTCAGCAGATGGATCCGTAAACTAAAGTGTGACCAGGTTTGTCTCCCACGTCCTCGTCCCCTGGTGTCCACTGTGTCACGTCTTACTGCTGATTACATGTCAATGTGGACCTGTCTCCCTCTCCTTGTCTCCACCTGTCCTTCTTTATTTACACTTGACTGTCTGTGATCTCGTGCAGGTTACTAAGGATTACAGACTGGCCAGGGTTTCTGGTCCTTTGACATATAATGACATTACAACTGCTTCATCGGAGGGGAGGAGGGACATTTGGACAGACAGAGAGAGAGGCTGGGATGAAGCAGAAGCTATTGATACAGGTCAGAATAGACCTATACAACTGTCAACAATAAAAACCAACACCACGAGACGTATCTGTGCCATGGCGAGGTCCTTCTGTCTGATTCTCTGATTCTCTGGGTTCTACAAATTAATCTTAGAAATATTACCCTGAATATAAAAGACGTGAGCATTGCTGGGCTTTGTATTAAAAGCACGAAAGGAAAAACATTTAACTCCTAGCTGATCAAATCTCTAATGATCTAATGAGCAAACCAAAGCCAACAAATCATCTTAACCATCAAGTTATTTCTACAACCAGAAGAAATAATTTATACCTGACAGGAAAACTGAAAGTTGCCCTTAATTGGGTCTGAATTTGAGTTTTTCTCTGGGGATTAACGCGTTAATTACCCCCCCCACCCTCTTTATTTATTTTAGTGCCTCTCTGTTTCTCCGTCGGCCATCTTTTAGCTGTGTGAACACATTTTATAAGGACTGACCTTTGACCTCACTGTCACGTATTCCTCCACGTGTCGAACTGAACCAACATCGTTACGTTTGTGCCTTTTCACGCACGCTTATAACTAAATAGGGCGACTCGTTATTTATAACCCTGTACGAAGTGAAACCACTCAAGTTATTCGCACACGTGTCTTATTAAATGAAAACCTCTGAGAAGCAATACAGCTTTACGTGAGAGGCCGGTGACATCATCACCAGCTGCATCACAGATGTTGCAGCGCGATAGTTCTCGGTAATCGTTGCAGAAGCAGAAACTTAAGCACCGATTCGCTATCGGAGTCCGAGAGTGTAAATCAGCAAAGCCGTGTAGAACTTCCAGCCGGGGCTGAAGGTTTAAGGTGAACCCACCCAGAACCACTCATGAACTTCCAGACCAGGAGCTGAAAGGAGGGTTCTGCTGCAGGGTCAGAGGCTAAGCTACTAGCTTACCTAGCTACTGGCTTGTCAAAATAGATTAGCCAGGCTAAATGACGAGCTAGCCGCGTACAGATTGTAACTGCTATAAACAGTCACTAGAACTCTGAGGCTTACAGGAAGTGATTTTACTGGCTACTTCCTGCCTTACAGGAAGTGATTTTACTGGCTACTTCCTGCCTTACAGGAAGTGATTTTACTGGCTACTTCCTGTCTCACAGGAAGTGATTTTACTGGCTACTTCTTGTCTCACAGGAAGTGATTTTACTGGCTACTTCCTGCCTTACAGGAAGTGATTTTACTGGCTACTTCCTGCCTTACAGGAAGTGATTTTACTGGCTACTTCCTGCCTTACAGGAAGTGATTTTACTGGCTACTTCCTGCCTTACAGGAAGTGATTTTACTGGCTACTTCCTGCCTCACAGGAAGTGATTTTACTGGCTACTTCCTGTCTCACAGGAAGTGATTTTACTGGCTACCTCCTTTTATTTCTGTTCACATCAGCTTCAGATGCCCTTTTACGTTACAGTTTATATGAATTGGAGAAGTTAAGAAACATTTACAAATAAATTCACGCATTTTTGAGGAGGAAATTTAAAATAGAAGAAGATTTCTGCTCTTGTTGATTTGGTGACACCGTCTTTTAATGCAGCGGTAGGAAGTGTCACTGCTAACACGTGGTGGCTTCCTTAATCATTACAGAGAGGTTATTATATAATAAGGATACATACAATAATATAGTAGTAGTAGTATAAAATAGTTTGAAAGGGTGGAAATGTTAAACGTGTCATGTGCATGCTTCGAACATGGCTTGTGTCCCGTGACGAGTTTCCGTGACTAACACCATCGTACCTCTTGAGTTGAAGTGAATCCGATCCTGGAGCCACAACCCGCAAACCTCAGGCTCCTGTCTGCAGCGAATGATGGAGAGCCTCCACCTTTTACCGCCACATTGACCTTCAGCGTGGAGGCAAAGGTCAACGGGTCAACCTTCAAAGGGCCCGTTATCAGGATCGAATGGTCTTCTGCTCTGGAGGAAATTAATCTGAGATTGAATCATTAAAGAAACGAGTCGCTTTGTTTTCAGACCGAAGGTTTTTATCTCAGGGTGAAATCTTGACCTTTAAAGCACGTTTACTTTACATCGACACCATGAAGACGTTATTGGATTTTATAACTAAATAAATCAGAGAAGTTATGAGTGACCACAAAGCA